TGCGCGCGCGCGCGCCTTACCCTGCACGTACGCGTGCACCGCCTCACGCTCGCCTAGTCCTGCGCGTACTAGGCTTCGCGCATATGCCCACCACGCGTGCGCCATCATGCGCGCTATTTCTTCGCTGCCGCCCTTGCGCGCGTATGCGCCCAGCACGCCTATGCCTTCGCGATGTAGGACTCCCGCGCCTGCACCACACCCACGCGCTATCTTGCGTGCCCCTTTCCAGCCGACCTTCTCGCGCGCGTGTTGTCGCGCGCCTGCCATTCCTTCGCCTGCTAGGTTGCGGACACCACCCGTGTGCGTTTCCTTCGCGCGCCCGTGTACGCCCATCGCCCGCGCATCACCACCCGATGCGCGCCTCCCGCCTATTCGCCTATTGGTTATGCCCGACCATTCTTCATATTCTACAGGCTCGATTACCAATCCCGTATCATTCCCCTCCTCTTCAAGACTTTCCTTGTCCCCAAGGATGAGAAAGTTCAGTACGTCCACATCACTATCATCTTCTTCAATAGGAGAGTCACCTTGATACTCAGTTCTCAATTTAATGCGCTTTCCCGTGCGAGTCAACGGTCGGCCACTGCAGTTGACCTCACGTCTCTCAGCACGGGCATGCATGCTCGACCACCACTTCGCGTGGCTACACCCAGCCAGGGTCCGTGTTCGGTTCGAGGTACAGAGAAAAGAAATTCTCTAACCCCGGGTTCATAATTTCTAAGGTAAACAGAAGGAATAATGGTTTTACACAATAATCCCAAACTACAAAAATTTAGGGTCAATAAAAGATGATTCCATTAGGCACAAACAATTTCCGCGGTTTCAACGGTGTCAAGCTTTATAAGGCATAAAACGAGTTCCAAATCCACCATCTTAAATCAACACAATATACAATGTACAACCAACGATAGAGGTCGGGAAAACTTCCCAAAAGAAACGAGGATCGGCTCCTTAACCAGGAATAACCCCAATCCCAGCGGTCATTACCGAGTAATGAAACGCTTAGCTCATTTGACTCTCCCGACTAACAGCGTCGGCCGTCACATCAGCTCTTGGCCAAGTAGCTAACCGTATTGGCAGTCCTAAATGAGCTTTCAAAGATTATGACGAAGAAAAGTAAAAAGCGACGACGGTTCTGCACTCCATGATGTGCATGTACCAGACACGGCTACCCTCCTTAAAAGATTCTCAAAATCTTTTAAGGTGGAACAACACTTCTCGAATCCCCAATTCATACTGAATTGGAGGCATCACAAAACAAGGTTCTCAATTTACGAGAATAGATAAGGATCTTAAAAGAATTAAAATATTTAACCCCATCCGAAATCTCATCCCATGCAACGGAAGAGAAGGCAAAAGAAAATTTCAAGGTACTGAAATTGAGCAGATTCTCAAACATAATTCAAAACTGTCTGCCACGCGAAAGGAAAATAAACAAAGGTTACAAAGTTTCCGAGAAGCAAAAACTTAGGAAAACAAAATAAAACTGATGTGGCTGCACGAGTCCACGATTAACTTCCTCCACAATCATTTCCTGCTGTCGATAATGGTCCTAGTTTTCTGAATACTCCCATACTCTAGGGACTTATTCAGATTCCTACACAATTCTCTTCTGAGATAGTTTACGAATGGTCCTCGCACGAAGACACTAAGAAGCACTTTTAGCCAAAGGACTGCCAAAGCATAAGCTTAACACGACATAATACTAATATATATATATATATATATATATATATATATATATATATACCACAATTCTAGCACGAGACCAAGATCTCTAAAGTTCATCAAATTCAATGTAGGTGGATAAATTCCTAAGCCCCGAATTATAGCACATAAATAATAAACAATTATTTCATAAGTAATCTCAATATCACTTATGACTTACATACCTTGAGCGGCGCGGCATGACGATGACGAGTGGTCGATGCTTATAATCAATTATTCATAAATGCACATAATTCAGATTTAAGCAGTCTACATAAACGTAGACCTGCTCTGATACCATACTGTAACGCCCCACTTTTCTTTGACGAAGGTCAAAGACTTTTCAAAAGTCAACAGAAATTTTTTCGAAATTCTTTTCATAAATCGTCTGGCGTTACTCGACATATAATTAACATTTACGAATTTTCACATATCAATTACTCGCAAGTAATTTAAACATCATTAATTATCCAGAGTCAAATCGAAACCACCTTCACAGGGTTTAACAAAGTTCTGAAATCAATTATTAGCAAACGGGGCATCTCCCCAAACCAGTGTTCGCATTTCTCAAATCATAGATAATCCAGGGTTCAAAATCTGAGATCATAATTACCCAGATCAAAACCCATGCAAATTAAACCCAAGGTTTTAAAATGCAAGATAATTCCAGAGTTCAACATGATGACAAAGATAATCATAATATAATAGCAAAGCGGAAGCTACACAATAAGGTCCGGTCAAACGACCAACCACCACTCGTCTCTCGCCGCCATGTAGCCGCCAGCTCAACCTGCATCAATGAAGAGCAGGTGGGGATGAGCACAGATGGAAACCGTTGTGCTCACCGCTATGCGAATGAACAGTTAATATAAGTGAGTACAAAAGTAATATGGCATGGTCACAAGTATGAACATAGACACAATATTTCCCATCTCCTATCCATAATCAACAATCAGCCTCATGTGCACACCTATCAAAATAGACTACATTTAGTCCACGTATCGTCTCCCCGCGGGAACTCTAACGTTGCTATAGTAGGAGAGTCATCCGTCAACCCCGAGGGTTTTAGACGGGAATCCACTGTCAACCCCGAGGGTATTAGACAGGTCTGCCAACCCCGAGGGTTTTAGGCAGGAAATCCATCACAAGAGGAGAGTACCCACTCGGGATACGTTCTATAACAACGGGGATACGTTCAACGGCCGGTACAGCTCACGCCGAAAGTTATACATACACATTTCATACTTTGATCATACCCAAGTAAGTAAACATATTCACAGTTCAAAGCATAGACAATTTAAATAAGACCCACCTGGTATCCGGAGTAAAACAATAAAACCAGGAAAACAGCAGGCAGTCGAGGCACAGTTCGTCAAACACCTACATTTGTTGGGTCTTGTCTTAGAATCTTATCAAGGCTTATCTTAAACTCACTAATCTTATACATATACATAAGCTATGAAGACTAGCTCGCTTGGCTTTGCCTTGCTAGCTTTGCTTTGAAAACGTTTTATGTATAAGTCTTTTCAGTTGGTGGATATCTTGGCTTGCTTAACTTTTAACACTTAGGACATTAAAGGATCAAATAAACATCACGTAGCATGACATGGTTCAGTTATGCCTCATAAACATGCGTTTAAACAATATAAGTCAAATTAAAAACCTAAACATGAACTTGCACCAATTTTCAGCATGTGCCATGAATTTAAAATTCATGTAGTTTTCAGTCTACAAATCATATCATGATAAAACCACTTGAAAAATATCCCTAACTCATGCCTCTATCACTTTCATGAAGAACACTCAAGCAGATTAAATCATCTAAAGGCACTTAATACAGAAAACATCCAAAACATAGGTGCGGTCAAAATGTTCAAACAAGGTGACGGCATTTTGATAATAATTCAAGCTACAGAGCACATATCGACATGCATTATATCTCATTTGAAATATAAGAAGCAGACATATAACTTTTATGAAGGGAATAAGTTCATACGATCACAATATGACACGATAAATAGGTCACACATTAATTTCACACAAGCTGCCGGGTAGCATGAAAAACTGGACGCACAATATTCTCGTAAAAAGCATAACTTATTCGATATAACTCGGAATTATGAAATTTAAAAGGTCAGATACAGGCAACTGAACATACTACATTTCATAAGAAGAAAACAACTTCAAATAATTGGTCTCTGATGGCTTAAACTGAGGTAAAACAGAAACAACAAATAATTTTTTTCAAATATACAGCACCTTAGAAAAATGGCAACAACTCAAGATTCACAACTCCAATTCATACAAACACAATACCTACAGAATCTACACATGTAAATATACAATTTTTATGAAGAGAACTTTTTCATACGAACACTTTCGGGTCATCAAAAAAGAGCACACATTCAACACTTAAACACGGCCATGGTTCATAAAAACTGGGTGTACATCGCACTTAGAAAAATCATATAAAATCAACTAGACCTCAATTTGAGTGATTTAAACTCTCACAGGCAGCTTACTACATATACTACATTTGTCATAAAGAACACATTTTCATACAGATACGTTAAGATCATCAAAAACAGCAATGAATTGAGATCAAAGTTTCTGCCCGAATTTATAAAAACTGCTTGCAGATACAACTTCAAAAATTCGTAATAAATTCAATTCAACTCCAAATCACGAAATTCTAAAACTCACAGAAACCTAACTCAAAATACTACAATTATTATGATGAACACTTAACCAGAAAAAAGCTTCTATAATATGAAAAACTGAGCAAAAACAGAGGCCATAACTTGACGTTTTTCAATCAAATTCAACCAAAATCACACACTCATGAACATAGCAACCAAAACACGTAATTCATATGTTAAGCAAGCCTCGATTTCCATTCTTTAAGACTTAAGCATTAGATAAATCGCAAACACATTGTCCGAGGTCCAACTCGGTCTTATTTAAACACGATAGAAAAATAACATCTTACGATTTTCACTTGAATTATTACTTACGTTAATTCAATAATATTGAGCAACAAAAAAAATCAGCCCGTGCTCGAAAGAATATCGTTCTTGTGACACGATACGCTAAACGAGCGAGGAAAAGGGCCGAACAGGGCTGAAACGGCTGTCCGTTCCTTCCGACGGGACTCGACGGCTACGTATCGCTTGCCCGAGGATAGTGCGTTACTGCTGGGGACGAGAATGGGACTCACGAACAGCAGTGATGGCTCGTGATGGACAACAGCGGGGTCTCGCGAACAAAGTGACGAACAACGACCATGAGCGGTGCCTCGGGACAGTACGGGAAGACCCGCAGATGGAATACAGTAGCTGGAAATTCACAACAGGGCTCGGACGGCGGCCTGAGGAGATGGTCGTCTAGACTTGCGTGACTGGAATAGAACTCACCGGGAGAAAGGGTCGTCGGGGCGGAGATGGGCTTGTGGAGGAGTTGTTGTTGGCTCGCCGCTGAGGACCTCGCGAATGGCTGTTGCACAAATAGAAATCGCCGGAGATGCTGCTGTCACGGACGGAAGTCGTCGGAGATGCTGCTGTCATGGCGCCTGGTCACTGCGAGAGGAGGATGACGATGATGATGGTGCTCCTCTGGTCTGATCGAGAGAGATGGATGATGATGGTGATGGCGCGACCTGCTGCTAGATGATCGATGGTGCGCTGGAAAGAAAATCAATGATGGTGGTTGATATAGCCACATTGGCTCATAGCGGTTCATACCATCACGGTTCGATACCACCAAGTCGATTTAGACAAAGTCGACTCCTCTAATAAGATTCCACGATACTCGGTCAAGGATCCCAGCCACCGATCGAATCGACTAGCATATGTCGACTAGGATGAGTCGACCTCCGATGAGATAACGGTCAGAAGTATTAGGGTCCATTAACGGTGGGATACGATCCAGTCGACTCGACTCAATACCTCAAGTCGACTGGAGGAGTCTTGCAGTTCGTGGTTCCCGATAGCCTTAACACACCTCAGCATGTTGAAGAAGAGCTAAGGATAAGAAGGAAGTTAAGGAAGGATCTAGATGCTGACTATGAAGTAGGCAGAATATGAACCGACCAGGGTATTCTGGACATTTCCATTAAGTCGGCCGGGGCACTTTGGGGACTTTAGGTAAATGTTGTACTCCTATATAAAGGACTGAGGTAATCCCAAAACCCTAACTCC